TGTTTGCCATCTTGTTCTCTGTTATAATTTGCTGGTTTCTCAATAAAAATATTGAAATATAAATGTATGACTAAGCTAAAAGCAATAGAACAAGATAGGTCAATGGTGAATGATCACTAGATTTGTACATGTACCGTATTTTCCGGCGTATAAGACGACTTTTTACCCCTTGAAAATCTTCTCAAAAGTCGGGGGTCGTCTTATGCGCCGGTAACGGCATGCTGACACTTTTTTTAGGGGGGCGGCGTGGTGCCGCCCCCCCCCCCCTTCCAACAGAAGGGACACTAAGTACAGGGGTGGGTAGGGGCTGCTGTCTCTTACCTGGCTCCGGTCCCACGACGATCCGGCTGCTCCTTCCTTCGGTTCGTCCACTGGCTGTTCGCGCGGCGGCTGCTCGGCTCCGCCTCCTCACTGGTGATCGGCCGCCAGAACTGTAGCTCAGGAAAGGCACACAGGCGGCCAATCACCGGCAAGTAGGCGGAGCTGAGCGGCCCCGCGCGAAAATCGAGTGGAGATGCAGGTAAGTGTGCCGTGCTTAGGTGCTGCTGCAACCACATATGCTGGCTGCAGCAGCACCGTACTGGAACAGGGGTCAGCAAGTGTCAGTGGGAGGAATAGTGCCCCATCGTTGGTGTCACTGATACCAATGATGGGGCATTATTCCTCCCACTGACACCAACGATGGGGCACTTTTCCTCCCCCCCACTGACACCAACGATGGGGCACTATTCCTCCCCCCCCCCACAGACACCAATGATGGGGCACTATTCCACCCCCCCACTGACACCAACGATGGGGCACTATTCCTCCCCCCCCCCCACTGACACCAATGATGGGATACTATTCCTCCCACTGACACCAAAGATGGGGCACTATTCCACTGACACCAATGATGGGGTGCTATTCCCCCCAATGATATTAATGATGGGGCACAATTCCTCCCACTGACACCAATGATGGGGCACTATTCCTCCCACTGATACCAATGATGGGACACTATTCCTTCCACTGACACCAATGATGGGGCACTATTCTTGCCACTGATACTAATGATGGGGTGCTATTCCTCCCACTGACACCAATGATGGGGAACTATTCCTGCCACTGATACCAATGATGGGGTACTATTCCTGCCACTGATACTAATGATGGGGGCACTATTCCACCCACTGACACCAATGATGGGGCACTATTCCTACCACTGATACTAATGATGGGGCACTATTCCTCCAACTGACACCAATGATGGGGCACGATTTGTCGCTCTGACACCAATGATGGGACACTATTCCTCCCACTAATACCAATGATGGGACATTATTCCTCCCACTGACACCAATGATGGGGCACGATTCTTCCCACTGGTGTGCACTGGAAGAGGGGTAGTCTTATACGGCGAGTATAGCCCAAACACTACATTTTAAACAGGAAATGTAGGGGGTCGTCTTATACGCCGGAAAATATGGTATATTTTTACATTGTTCTTATGGCGATTGTAATAGTGTTCTATTCTAGAATATTACACCTAATTGTTTTTAAGTTTTTTCATCAATACAGAAGGAACCCAATATCCTAGAAGTTACCAAGATCTGTATGTGATTGTACAAAATGTTGAAATAGAAAAATCGACATGGATTTTGATGTATAATGTTTGTGCACAAATGTAATGAATCTGTGAATGTCATCTCAACCAAGGTGAATTATTGATAACTTTTGATGAACATCCTTTAATGAAAATCCACGTGGTGATAATTAATTTAATTAACTGATACGAGTTCATTTAATATGGGTAACAGAGTAGACTCATGAATCAACAATATAATGGCCATATGTTTTGTATTTTGTGGAAGTGTTTTGTATGGTGATTTTATCTGTTTTTTTTAACAATAGATTTTTATTAAATTTTTTATACATTACAGGAAAGAGGGTCTAAGTGTTTTTGTATGTTTTTTGCTAACCACTTGTTTATTTCTAGGAAGGAAAGGTGTTGTTACCTCTCTATGACCTTTTACTTTATTTAGTTCCTAGATAATACTAAACGGCATCAATATATGGTAAATTGAACAGAATTAAAGAAGAAGATTACAGATTTAATGGACAATTTGCATCAGCTTATTATTCTTTTATGTAATATGTGAATGTAATGAAAGTTTTTGTTAGAGCCAATTGTAAACAGAGCAGCTAATAATATTGGTGCTGCATGATGGCTATTTAAAGGTTTTCTCTGGTTAAGTTAAATATGAAACAATAGAGAAAAACTTAGTGTTTGATTAATAGTAATATTGTTTTCACATCTGGGATGGTTTACTTATATTGTGGTGTTTTTGAAGGGTAAAGAATACCTAAACATTTACATTAAAAATGTGGTTGTACATCTTTCTGTATTGTTCTTTCCTGTGTGTATTTAAGCTAGATTATGGTGGTATGTACTTTGGTATATTCTGCCATAATCATCGTAGTGGAACTGTAAGCCAGAACCACTGGCAGAGTGAAAAACAGAACCCACAGGATGTGCACAGTACAGGTAGTGAAAGGGTGACATGAAACGTTTAACTTGGGTTTTACATAAAACTGATGTTTAATTTTGTAGATTTCTGTACATAATTGAGAGTTAAAATCACTTCAGCTAATCATTTTGTACATTAATTAAATTACTCATAACTGTTGGTTTTAATTAAAGATAACCATGTTATTGCAGTAGATGCAATTTTTTTTAAAGTAAGTCCTTTAAAATAAAGTGCTCTAAATACTGATATATACTGCCCCATAGATTGTTATCTGAGACTCAGCGATCCTTTGCCCACCACGTTTTATACACTTACTTGAGTTTTCATACATTTGCTAAATCATAAAGAAACAGGTTACCAGGTTTTTCCTCAACCCTCCCTGATTGCTTGGGTGTGGAACTGGCATCCAGAGTACGATGACACATATGTATGGGTAATTTGTATACACATACTGGGGTTAGTGTAGACAAGAGCCAGTTAGCCTGCCAGAATGTCTTTAGTATGTGGGAGGAGACCAGAGTACACAGAGGAAACATACACATTTGAAGTTTGGGCCTATAGTTTGACATTTTAGTTTAGATACATTGTAATTGAGAATTCAGGTGGTAGATGTGTGGTGTTCCTGTAACAATATTTTACCCTAAGGAAAAGGTAGGGTTTTAATGTCAGGTCACTAGGGATCATGGATTTACCTTTCAGAAATCTATAATGAGCTATATGGACATTTTTGTTAGTTATGGAATGTTGGACTGACAGTCTTGGTAACACCTACCTTGACATCAACCAGAAGCATATTGGAAAAAGGAGACAAATGCTTTTAACAGCAGCAACCGTCTATAAAGACTTTGCCACTTATCAGCAGCTCAACTGTTTGTGCAAGTTCCACCTGCTATGATGGTCAAATACCGAAACTGTTCTATCTGTTCCGCTGGTCAAGTACTAGAACTGTTGTATCTGCTATGATGGTCAAGTACCGGAACTGTTCTATCTGTTCTGCTGGTCAAGTACCTGAACTGTCTATACAAATAAGCAAAACATTCCATCTACCATGGTGCTTATGTGACTGCACGTCTATGACTTGTGAACTATAATAGTCCAGAGGAAGAAATTGGTTTTGTATTCTACAGTTCTTTGAGTTCTACAGCATTGCAATTGATGTGCTGCAGCTGCGATCTGATCATCGGATGTCTAAGACTCTGCTGTCTAGATATGGAGGACTTGTGGATAAGTTTCTACATTTCTAAACTCTTAGAAAAAGTCTTATGTTCTTATCTGCGTGCTTTCGAATTCTTGAAAGGAAAAAAAGTTTGGTGTTCTTTTGTTAGTCCAACATGTAATTTTTTGGGGGTCCTTATATTTTTTAATTTTGAATATTTTTTTTATATTTTTCAGCCCTAACATAACTGAATAAGATTTTCTGTGTAGGTAAATCAGAAAGTAGGTATCTACACTCATAACAGACACACTTTAGATCCCCCAATTTTTATTTAAGGTAAAATTTACCCAAGGGGTGGTAGGATGTAGAACTTTTGTTTACTATAGCTAGGTGCTTTCTTTCCACTGTTGACATGTTTCCTTTATGTACGGTTGGGGGCATTACTGTATGATATTTGTGAGCCAGGGGGTGGAGTGATGGGGAAATTGCATATTTCCTTATTATGGTTGGCCTCACAAATATTTAATAACCTTAAATGACTTCAGCCCATAGGAATTTCATTGTAAGCGGACCATATGGACAAGCCAGCCCAATAATCTTTTTTTTAGGAATGTGTGATTACAAACTGACTAAGTCCTTAAAAAGGTCATATTGTTGCTTACGAGGGAAGTTGGCTGGGGGCTGTCCATAGTCTATATACTATAGCTGTAGCTTGAAACATTCAGTCTCGTCTTCAGAGCTTGCAATCATGTATGCGTCTGTGGTCACCTGTGTGCCAAGCCGTGTAAAAGAGGGGGGAATTTGTGGTGGAAACAGCATCTTAAGTTAAGTATGGTTATATTTTCTTTATCTGTATCTGTCGTTACTTGTAATAAATGATTTACTTATAAGTATTTGTGTGATCTCTCTTTGCACATATCAAATACAACCCAAAAACTGTTACAAAACAGTGATCACATATTGTAATGTTCTAGTTGCGTCTATACCAAGGTGTTTCTTATAGCAAAAAAAGTTTTAGTACTACTGTAAGGTGCCTACAAATGATCAGCACAAAGGGCTCCTTTATCCTCCACAATATAAACTCATGCATGGGCAAGCTACATTAGATGAAAAGAAATATGTAATTTCGAGCACCCTATCAATGAATACTGCCCATGTAACACCTTAAAAGAATGCATATTTTCCCCTGATCGACAGGTATTACCTAATTCTAAAATATTTCTGGCCATCATCATGGATTACTGAATATTAGGTATTTTATGTTGCCAATATCCAAGACACAGGAGTCCCTAATGACCTAATGTGACTGTTTAGAGGCCACTCAGGAAAAACCTTACCTTTAACTGCAGCTGGCGGACCCACACAATATTATTCACAACTTCAGGGAGGTTCTTGCCTGATAGCGGACCAGATGATTCTCCAGGCAAACCATGACAATGTGTTTCAAAATCAGACTGAATATCTAAAAAAAAAAAAAAAAGAAATCCAACAATCATGAACTATGTGTCCTATATACAGTACATTTAAAAAAAGGAAATAAGCAGCTCCCTACAAAAAGAAACACTGCCCGTGCCACCATATTCTGTTTACTGCAGGTCTAAGCTTGCAGAAAATCTTTATTTTCCAGCACACTTCTAGGAGTGTCAGATGCCTGGTCTTATCTTGAGCTCTGTGGCCTCTGCTGCCAGCCCCTTTGTCCTATATTGACGATGGGCCAGCAGAAAAAAACAACAGATGCAGAATTCGACACTCCTGGAAGTGTCAAATACTGAACATTCTTCAACAAAGCTTGGATCTTCAAAGAAGTGAAGTTTGGTTGAACTGGATGAACTTTTGTCTTTTTTCAGCCAGACTAACTATGTAACTTGGTGGTATGGGCAACAGAAAAGTTAAGTATTCTTTGCTTTCTTTGCATGGATGTTCCTTTTTTTTTTTGAGTCCTCTTAAAATGGAACTCAACTGCTGAATAAATCTCCTCCCCCCCGCCACCATCTTTCAAAATCCACACATGCATGCCCAGCAGTTTTCTGTGCATTTGCACAAGTGCCCCCATTTCTTGGAACTGAGCGCTATAGCTGTCCACAGCATTTGCTGACCATGTAGTGACTGGACACAACACAAGTTTGTGAGCAAGTTTCATCCAATGATTTTGGCTGAAACCTGTTGTTCAGCTATAGTCAATCACAGCACAGAGTTCTTTGTTTACAATCACTCAGAGCTCTTTGTACACAGAACAGCAATTTAGCTTTTTCTTCCCCCTGTAAAGCAGGAAGAAAAAACAGCCAGATCTGTGAGTAAAAGCAGCACACATTACACTTGTAAGGCAAACAATTAACCCCTTCAATGCCCCTTGATGTTAACCCTTTCCCCGTCAGCGTCATGAGTACAGTGTACACTGATCACTGTATTAGTGTCACTAGTGACGTCAGTGTCCCTCCCAGCCAGTGTCAGTTAGCGCCAGAATGTCCGCCACACTATCACGGTCACACTATAAGTTGCTGATCACCGCCATTACTAGTATAGTGTCTATACTGATCAGTATCTTGATCTCGATCAGAACTATACCCAAAAACACAGTTTGATTTTTACCAGAGACATGTAGCACAATATATTGTGGACTAAATTTGTTTGATTTTATTGGATACGCTCTATAACAGAAAGTAGAATTTTTTTTTTCAATATTTTTGATCTTTTTTCCTTTATATAGCAAAAAAATAAAAAACTCAGTGGTGATCAAATACCGCAAAAGAAAGCTCTATTTGTGTGAAAAAAATTATATAAAATTTGTTTGGGTACAATGTTTCAGGACAGTGCAATCTCCAGTTAAAGTAGAATAGTGCTGAATAATAAAAAAAATGCCTTGGTCATGAAGGGGGTAGATCCTTCTGGAGGTCAAGTGCTGAAACGTGTAAGTTAATGCAATCATAAGAATGCAAATATTCTTATCAATATGTGTTAAGATTTCACAAAAAAAACGATTTACTGACATGAAGTAAAAGCATGAAATTGACTTTCTGGTAAACATTATGACAACACAAAAGGAATGCTCACTTAAAAATGTTCTATAATTTAATCCAAGATTATAAAATAATCCAATATATCCATAGTTCCTAGAAATGGATTCCATTTAATTTTCTTTCTGGCATCCAAGCTCATCTGAAGTTGATTTAGTCACTAAATTAAAACCATCCTGGATTATCAGAAATATGAAGATATCTAACATCTAGGAACGCGGGAAAGGTCTAATTGACCTAAATTTCTTCTCTTAGACTAGGCCTTGCAGAGTGTCCCCCATTTTCCCATCTCATCCCTCTTCTGCCCCTGCTCTCTTAGGGCTAGTTCACATTAGATGCAGTCCAGTGTGGTTTTTTTTTTCTCCATCAAAAATGCATGCACAGTGTTTTCCATGTATTCCAATGGCCCTACATCAGATCAGTGCAGTCAGTTCCAGTCAGTTTATAGTGCAGAAAAAAAAAAGTAGAACATGCTGCATTTTTTCTGCACAGAACTGTACCAGAACAAAGAAAACTGCATCAAAACTGCACCGGAACTGTGTGTGGTGTGAACTGTAAACAAAACCGTATCCACAATGCATCTGGAGTGTGTTTTTGGGGTGTGAACTGGCCCTAAGTCTTTTCGCCTCTCACACCTCCCTGCCTGCTCCCATCACTGCTCGATGTGCCAACGTATTTACTTTGCTGTGCATTTGGACACGTTACCATGAGTTGCGGCATGGCAGCCCATTCACTTGATTGGGCTGCCTACTGCATTCAAATCGCAGCAAAGTCTATGACCTTTTGCCCTGTTTCACACTGAATTCAACTTTGAAATCAAGCTACTTCACTTGAAGTAGTACGATTTCAAAGCCACATGTCAGTGCGATTTCATATGCAACGTGCCTGACATCTGTGCGACTTCATGCACAGATGTCTATGCAAGTCACACATGAAATTGCAAAATATTAAAATCGCAAAGTAGTACAGGAACTTTTTTCCCCAAATCGGTGCGGCACCTCAAGTTAGAGTAGCAACGATTTGAACGGTTCCATAGGTGCCAATAGGGTGCAACTTGTCATGCAGTTTGGAACTGTCAAATCGCACAAGTCACACCAGGGTGAACCACAGCTTATTGCTTTAGGCTTGACACTTATGCGACTTTGGATTGCATCAAAGCTACATTCCAAAGTCGCACAATTTCCAATGCCAATTTGGAATGCAACTTCGATGAGTCGTACAAGTGTCAATAGAGCCTTAAATTGTGCTTCACCATAACACATGGTAATAAGTTTTTGTGCATTTCTCGGCAATGCAACGCACAATGCGATGGCTGGTTCTATGGGGTGCCATTACGAATTATTGGCATTGCAGTGCACATAGTAATAAGCAATCTCGTGTGGCACGGGAACGCATGCATTCCTGCATCGCAAATATCTGAATGTAACTAATCTTCAGTCCTAAAATGTGCATTTTAACATGTGAGCAAAAAAGTGAAAAACTGGCTCTGATAGTGAAGTAGTTAATTTTATCTTTCCTATTCAATTCAATGTATTTCACTGAATCTGTAAAATTATTTACAGTATATAATTTTGCCATTAGCCAAAATTATGCAGAAATGAGAACTCTTATTTTTACTCCCTAATGTCAGCTTTGTAAGGGATAGTTATATCTCATGTATGTGTTACAGTGGGAGGATACAAGAATCAAACTATACATTATTATTATTATTATTATACAGGACTTATATAGCGCCGACAGTTTCCTCACCGCTTTACATTATCATATGTACGTATTATTTATTTATCACAGTATATTCTGAGTATAGATGAGTTCAGGTGTATTTGGATCCTAGCCTGAAACCACCTGAGTGACCTCGCCAGGAAACAGTCGCTGTACCAGGGTCACGCTTAAGCACCGGAAGCATTCCCCACATCATGGCCACGTGTATTCAAAGGGAGTGTGTATATGCCGGGCATAGAATGCCCCGGCTGCTTATGATTGGCCTGGAATAGTGACAGCTTCATTGTGCGATCTCTCAGGTGGGTTTGGACTAGGAACCAAACTTACCTGAGCTTATTGTTAACCCTGAGGTGTTATACTGCCTGTAATATTTTTTTCCTTTATTGAGGAGCAGATATACTGTAGTTGTGTAAAAACTTAAAAAAATCATCACGGATCAACCCCCCCCCCCCCCAACCTTCCCACCTCCTATAACACACTGCTGGGGTAGGCAGAGTTCATTTTCCCACAAGCTGTGCCTGTGCTCTGCACCACTGAGCATGTGCCAACCCATACCGAGTAATGATCCCATCTACTGTACACAGCATTCAAGAGAGAAGCTGAAACAAGCAAAATTAAAAACACGTAGCACAATGAAGGCAGAAGTAAGCCGATTGCTACCTATACTTTCAATATAACAAACAACTTCTTGCATTTATATACTATGGCCTTGAAGTCTAATTAGCAATGAAAAATATTTATGACAGCCAATCAGGTATAATCCATCATTATTATAGATTGTAAGCTCCAAGGAGCAGGGCCCTCCTATCCCTCTTGTATTGAACTGTATTGTTGCTGTATTGTCTCCCTATATATTGTAAAGCGCTGAGCAAACTGTTGGCGCTATATAAATCCTGTATAATAATTATTATTATTTTGAACACCATAAACTACTGAAATATAATTTGTATTTGTTTTGATATGACACTGCACAAAGATCAGATACAATTCTAGGATCATTTCAGGCAATGAGTGAGAACGGTCAGTGAACTGGTAGGGTGATTTAGGAAAGATGCAGATTTGATAAGGTCTAGACATTCTCTCAAATTTAGCTTAAAACAAAGATGTGCAACTAAAAAAATGGCAACAATGACAAATTATATTCCAGACACCTTCAAGTGTCAGCTTGGGTCTCATGCAAAGCACCATAGAATCCTACAAAACCCCAAGGGCTTTCTTTTTCTCATGTGAACAATGGCCGGTTTTCCTGATGTTTGCTATGGCGCCTCTTCTACCACCTCATGCATCACAGTAATGGGCAAAGAGCAACATGCACAAGAAGGTAGAGTGCAGACAAGATCTGGCAACCAGGGAGACAATCTGATGATTTTCTATTATTACAACACCCCACAGTTTTGAAGGATTCTGAGACCTTTTAATCCTCATTCACACAGATAGTAACATACATTATATGCATTTTTTTTGAGCATTTATAGGACATTTTTAATGAATATAAATACATGCAATGATTTTAAATTAAATTATTGACTTTGATGAAATTTACTAAGACTGGTGCAGACAGAATCAGGAGTCGCGGTGCATGGCAACCAATCAGGTTTTATCTTTAATTTTCGAAGTGTAAAAGAAGGATGGCCAAACCTTTCTTGCACTCTCCGGTGACCCAGAATCAGCCAACACAGTTGGTGTCACAGACCTGCTCCATGCTTCAGGCAGTGGATGCATGGAC